GGGGGTGCTCAAGCCCAAAGACCCCCGCGAGAATATTAGCCCCGCTCGCTCGCCATCGTCCTTCCCGCTTGCACATCAGACACCATCGGCTCGGCTAGCGTCTGTAAAAGATTCGTCAGAATGCACCCTCAACCCCACCTCGTACAATCCCTCTGGAGTGATACTTGGAATTACTCGCTTTCCCTTGCCGAGTCTCTTCAGCATCAAGCTGTCTCTGCACAAGGGGTCCTGGAAAGCCGGGTCATGATCATGCCATCCACAGTCGGAGTGTGCCCATACGAGCGGAGAGCTTCCCGTCCATTTACCTTGCATGCCCAGTCGACCGTCTTATCGACTGAGCTATGTGACAAATCTGGGGATCTTCAGGGAAGGAAGGCGCCTTCTTCCTGTCGATGTACGACGGGATAAGATCTGAGAAAGCAGGAACGGGCTAGCATGCAGTAGGCTCGCATGAATACAATTGTTCGATGTTCAGATCTGGTGTGAAGCTGAGGCTGTCGGACTGCTTGGCTGAGATCCTAGTCTGACTCGTGCATGTTTGCACAAGAAGAATCTCTGATCCGGGACTTGCTGCCGAGTGTACTTATACCACCCACCAGGTCTCGCTTCTCCCCCGACCCCTCTCTACCCGATCCTTTTATCTCTTCGCTATACTACCCCGTCATCATTCCACGGATCGTACCCCAGCACTTTAGGACCGAGTTTACCCAACTCGCATAGCAATTCGACATGTCGCAAGTTCCGCCGCTGTCTCAGGGTGCTGGTTACGGTGTCGTGATCGGCCTCGGAGCACTCTTCGCCATCGTAAGTGAACGAAGGTACGTTGAGTCCGTGCATTTCATGTGGGCTGACAACGGTACGTGCATTATTTGACGTGCAGGTGGTGGTGGGCATTTCGCGCTCGCTGGTGCGCTATGCAGGAATTTCCAAAGACGCCGAGGAATTCAGTGTTGCCCGACGCTCTCTGGGCACCGGTCTGACTGCGGCGGCGGTGATCAGCTCCTGGACATGGTCGACCACGCTACTCTCATCCGTCTCTACGGCCTACAACTATGGCGTGGCGGGAGCGATGCTGTACGCGTCCGGAAACTGCACGCAGATTGTGCTTTTCTCGACGCTGGCGATCCAGCTCAAGCGACGCGCGCCGTCGGTGCATACCTACCTCGAGCTCGTCCGGATCCGCTTCGGAGTACTGCCGCATCTGACGTACATCTTCTTTGCGCTGGCCACCAACATCCTGGTGTGCAGTTCGGTGCTGCTCGGCGGTGCGGCGGCCATCAACTCGATTACGGGCATGAACGTGTATGCTGCGCTCTTCCTGCTTCCCGCCACCGTGGTGGCCTACACGCTTCGTGGCGGCCTGCGTAGCACGATTCTCGCAGACTACCTGCACACCGTCATCATTTTTGTCATCCTCTTCATCTTCTGGCTGCGCGCGTACGCCACGTTCCCCGAAATCGGAAGCCCCGCAGCAATGTACGACAAGCTCGTCTCTGCATCGCGCAACATCTCGGTCCCGGGCAACTACGATGGCTCCATCCTCACTCTCAAGACCGAGGGCGGCCAGTACTTTGCGTGGCTTTCGGCTTTCGAGTACACGGGCGTTGTGTTCCTCGATGCGTCGTTCCATCAGAAGGGAGTGGCAGCCATGCCCGAGGCTGCTTTCCCGGGCTACTTGATTGGAGGTCTGGCGTGGTTCTCGATCCCCTTTTGCCTCGCCACCACCGCAGGACTCGCCGCGCTTGCGCTGGAAACGACTTACCCCGGATTCCCCACTTACCCGAACCGAATCCCCAAGGCAGACGTATCGGCAGGGTTGGTGCTGCCGTACGCGGCTCAGGCTCTGCTCGGCAAGGGAGGCTCGGCCGCCGTGCTGCTCCTCATGTTCATGAGCTGCACATCGGCCATCTCAGCGCAGATGGTCGGCGTATCCACCGTCGTTTCGTACGACATCTTCAAGACCTACTTCAAGCCCGCCATTTCGGCCGAAGGTTTGCTGCGATCAAACCAATATGTTGTCGTCGGATTCGGCCTCTTCGCAGCGGCTTTTGGCAGTTTGCTCCACGGAATCGGTCTCGATTTGGGGCTCATTTACAACCTGACTGGCATATTCACAGGTGCTGGGCTTTCTCCGCTCATCTTTATCTTCTTCGACACCCGACTGCATCCTGCGGTGGTTTTCCCGGGTATTTGGATCAACTTTGTTGCCGGCGTAGCCGTGTGGCTCAGCGTAGCGTGGCACAACTATGGTGTTGTCAACCTCGCCTCTGTGGGTGGTGTGGTGCCTTGCTTGGCAGGTTGCGGCACCGGAATCGGTGTTGGACTGGTCCTTTCCGTCATCTCGGTGCTCTTCTTCCCGCGCGACTTTGCGTGGAGTAGGATTCCCGAAATTCTGGAAGAGCAGCATCGCCACGCGCAGCAGCTTCGCGGCGAGAAGGTGGCCGAGCGCACGCAGGTCGACGAGAAGGCTGCTTCGAGCGCCAGCAGCCAGGGCGAGACGACGCTGGAGCTGATCGAGCACGATCCTTCGTACGATCCCAAGCGACTCGACAGGTCGTTCCGCATCGCAGTCGTTTCGGCGCTGACGATCTTTGTGGTGATCACGATCATCTGGCCGTTTTCGCTGTACCGCGACTACATTTTCTCGCGCACCTTCTTCCAAGGCTGGGTCACAGTGTCGTTCATCTGGGCCGTCGCTGCCTTTGTCGGCGTAGGCATCTTTCCCCTCGTCCAGGGCATCCCTGTTGCCAAGACCATCATTCACAACCTCAAGAACAAGGCAACCCGCACGTCGGACAAGCAGCAACCAGCTTCGGATGCTGCATCGCCAACAGAGTCGTCGACTCCGGCGTCGCCAAACGAGTCAAAGACCAAGATCACCCAGTCCCACACCGACTCCAACTACATCGCCTAGACGTTGTTCCATCCCCATCCTCACATCAACCTGACTGTTATCCTCACAACCATTGGCTAAGGGGCCGTATGACGCAGTTCCGTGATCGTCAGAAATTTTCTTGACCTGTGGCATCAAGTTCGGTGTAGTTACGACGCGCGTGCAATTTTGTCAACACATCGCTCTGCACATAGCCCCACTCTGAAACCCGCCATGCTTCGCCGATCTCACAACCACTCCTCGACGGCAGTGTTGAAGCCACCTTCCATCTCAGGATGACGACAGACGGCCCGTAGAGCAACGCACATTGGGCCCTTGGTGCGACTCAAAATTTGCGAACGCGATATGCAAAATTGACCTGGATTGCGATTCTAAAGACATGCATGCTACGACTGAGTGTGTTTGCCAGGGCTACCCTTTCCAGGACCCGCGGAAGAGGTGGACGAGCCTGCTGATGCCGTCCTTTGTATGCGAGCCGGGGTTGAATCCCGAGGAGGGTACGATGACAACGTCGCGGATCTGGACGGGCTGTTTGAGCAGCGACAGATCCTCGGGACGCACACGTGCCGCAGCATAGAGATAGCTCACCACGGCATCAGTAAAGACAGCTGGGCCCGTCCATTCTTCGACGGAAAGTGTGTCCCAGCCCCATCGCCAGTGACCCGCCTGCCACTTCCACGACATGGAGACGGCGTTCCAGGGACTGACGCCATGCGCCTCTCTGGCGTGCGCCTGCTTCGCCTTGGCGTCGGCGTGGAGGTCTCCCCAGCCCCAGCCGTCGGCGTGTGCATCGCGTTGCTGCTCGATCTCGTAGGCACTGTAGACCTCGTTGGCCTCGAGGATGCGGCGGACGACGTCAAGCATGATGGGGTGGTTGGGCGCCACATGCAATGTCCACTGCACGAACTGCAGTGGACGATGGCGGCGCATGGGAAGCAGGCGCCAGCGCTCGAAAAAGTTGCGGGGATCTCTATTCTCGTTGGGATCGTTCTCGATGCCGATGATGGCGCGCACCGGTTTTGGAGCGACATCATCGACATCAGATGCAGGACCCAGCGGCAAAGCGGTGGCCCTGCCGAAGAGCCCCGAGGACTTTGGACGCAAGGCGGACAGAGGCACGGCGTCCTTGGTCCAGTTGGCACGGTGCATGAGGGGGACAGTGTCCATGTCGGACCAGGTTCCTCCGTCGTCGAGCATGAGAAGATACCTCAAGAGGTCTGCCTTGAGGATGAAGCGAGGCATGGCGTCCCAGGCGCGCTTGACCGAGGTGTTGTGGTAGTGCGTCTGGACCCAGTCCTCGGCGCCTGCATCGTCGAGGAATTTGGGCTCGAAGCCCATCTGGGACCACTTTTCGTACCACGATTTGGGCGCAGGCTTGCCATCCGAGGACCAGATGGTGGGTGGCACGACCGAAGCCGAGTTGGCTTTTGTGGCGTCGACACGAGAAGAGGGCTGGTTGATGTGTGCGAGATGGTTGGCGAGAGCGTCGCGAGCCTGTTTGTTGGGGATGTGCTGGCCTAAGGCGGTCTTGAGCGTATCGACGTAGGTCTCGGGTGGAAGGATGATGTAGTTGGGTGGACGGAAAGTGATGTAGCAGAAGATGTAGAGGATTGGCAGCACGACGGCTGCGATGGTGACGAGCTTGCATCTGCGCGAGGAGCCCTTTGCGCGACGATATGTGCCGCCGAGCAGCGACGAGTAGTAAGAAGGAGGGTTGTAGCCCGGAGGCGGGGATATCGAGCCGTGAAGGTCGAGCGAGCACGACGAATCGCGCCGTTGTGATGACAGATGCGAGAGAGGGATGTCGACTGCGGTCTCTGTGGACGAGGTGAGAGCGGTGTACTCGCACTCGCTGCGGGGAGACGAGCTGGTGCTCGCGATCTTGAACGGGCCGATCTTGAAGTCGGAGAGCGGTGCATTGCGGCCGTCGCGAGACTTCTGGTCGCCTGAACGGAGGAAAGGCAGCATGGTTGCGACTGATATGGCGCGTAGAAGATGGCGGAAGTACGGTGCCCGGGGCGCGTGTGGCTGGCGGCGGAAGGACGAGGCGCTCGCGCCTGTCTGCGATGGGGCGAATTCAGCTATACGATGGTGGCGAGCAGCATGAAGGGGAGCAACCTATGCGTTTGGAGCGACTGAGACCCGAGGGAGATCGGCAGACGGGGAGGCCGAATGGTCGGAGCGTGGCCAGTCGAGGAAAATGACCGGAGCAGAGGGCGCACCAAGTCCTGCTTGGTGTGCGATGTGCGAGCTACGGGTTCGTATGTCGAAACGAGGATTGAGATGACGATAACCCAGGGAGAGAAGGCAGCGACGGGCAAGGAGACAGGTGTGGTAGAGGGTGGAGACTGTCGAATGAGGCTCGGCGGTGCTGGGGGCTAAAAAAGTGTAATTTGCCGGTCAGATGCACGGCGTGGACGCGCAGCTGGTGGTGGGGCCCAAAAAAGGAAGCCCGGCTGCGTTGTGCGTTTCCTTTCGGCTTTGGCGAAATCGACTTGGCAGGCGCGTGCCAAGAGTGCGTCTCGAAGCTGGGCACAGGCGCAGTCGCGGCGCCCGAGTCGGGTTCCAAATTTCTCGTCGGTGCGTCTGAACAGGCATGTGGCGCCGCCCTGGCCACTCTGCCACAGCCGCGCTGCAGAGAGGCAGGCTGCCGGAGCTATTTCCAACGGAGGTTGTAGCGGCTACAGGAGGCTGCTGTCCGGCTGTGCATCATCGGAATCGCGCCCCACCACGTTTCCCAAGCAACTCGCTCACAGCCGTGTTCATCTCACATCTCTGCACCTTCTTGACTCTTGATCTCGACAGCGTGCACGCACCCGAATGAGAGGACTGCTGGTAAATGCAATGAAGATAGCGCTTGTTGCCACAAAAGTTAGCGTGAGCCGCGCCCGCCACCGCCGCCAGTGAGGATGAGCTTCTTCTTGACGCGTTTCGCTTTAGCTCCGGCAGCCGCAGAATCCGGGCCAGGGGCATCTGGCTTCGTCTCGCTGCCTGCCTGGTCTGAGACTGCGGCCGAGCGGTCTGCCTTGACGCCATCGCCAGGCACGACGCTGCTGCCGGCGGACACTGGTGCCTTCGCGCCGCTCCTGCCGTTGGGACCTTTGGTCTGCTTGTTCAGCCCACGGCTTTCCCGCACGGCGCCAGTCGGTCTACGACCTGATGAGGTGGACCCTAGGATGTAGTCTTCCTCGAGCTCGTGCCATGCATCGTCCATCTGATCATCCCACAGACCCTGGGCATCCGACCCACGGCCCTGGATCGCATTCGCAAAGCTCGCCTTGGATGCAGGCGTGCCCCACACCGTCTTCTTGACCGGCGCCGCTGTGGCCTTGACTCTTCTGCTGGCCGCCTGCGCATCCCTGCGATCAGTCTGGTCGTCCGACGAGATTGAGACGCGATCCATGCGCTGACGCGTCCCGCCGAGCGAGTCCGGAAAGTCTTCGGTCGCCTGCGCTCCGGGGTGGATCGGAAACTCGCGTTCCGCACCGAACAGCGCCGACTCACGAAAGCTCGGCGAGGTACCTGCGCCCCCGTCCTCGTGCGCACTGCCATGTCCGCCTCCCTTGGCATGGTCGAAGCTGCGAGATAATCCGTCCGAGGGAAAGTTGGCCTCGCTCGTGAACGCAGCGAGCTGCTCCTGCTGCCTGCGGTACGCCGCTGCGGCCGCTGGGCCGCCCTGGTTCGAGATGAGTTCGGCCTGCTCGGCGCGCGTCTTAGCGCGATCCTCCCGCCTCTCCTTGTCGCGGCGTCGATTGCGTCGTTGCCGCAGCGCTTGCTCGTACGGCCGCAGCGTCGCCTTGTCGATCCAATCCATGCCTTCCCAGTCAACCTCGATGAACACCACGTCGGCGGCCATGGGGATGTGGCTCAGGTACTTGCATCGACGCCGCAGCTCCTCGTTCATGCTCCCTTCATCCGCGCCCGACACCTTGACCGCGAGGTTGCGTGGAAGCTTCGAATACGCTCCGTAGTGCGCCAGCAGGATCTTGGTGTCGAGTGGGTGCAAGAAGATGCTCTGACCCGAAGCTGCCTGGAAGAAGACGTACGACGACGTCTCCGGCACGGGCGGGTTGACGTTCTTGCGCGCCTTGGGCTGGCGGGTCGAGCCACCCTTCGGCACTGCACCGTGGTTTGCGTCGTCCTCCGTGTGCGGAGTCGAAGTGCCTTCCGCCGACCGATGCGACATCATGCCACCTTGTGTCTGTGCCCGCAGCGCCAGGAATTCCTCGGCACCCAAAGCAGCCTCGGGAGTGCCGTCACGAGCTGCTGCGCCGTCATTCTTGGTGACGTGGCCCACTCTGGCGTCACCCTCTTCGTCCGTCTGCGAGCGTTCCATACGTTTGCGCTGACGTCGGCTCAGGTCCGAGCGTTGAAGCTTGCCCGAAAGTGCTGCTTGGTGGTCTTGCAGATTGTTGCGCGCTTGTCCGATGGTGCTGCGCACGATGGGCAGGTCGAGCTCGTCGCGTACTTTTTGAATCTGGTCCTTGACCTTGCTCTGCGCGAGTGCCACAAAGTGCAGCCCACTCGCATCGGTGCCAAAGCCCTTGAGCACGCCGATCTCCTCCTCGAGCTCGCGCAGGTCGCTGTCGAGCGACTCGATGAGCAGCTCGGGCGACGCTAGCATGAACTTGGCGAATCCGAACACGTCGGGCTGGAAGTGCCATGGCGCTGAATGCACCGCGATGAGCGGCTGCTCAAGCTCGAGTGTCGGCCATGTTGTCGACTGCGGCAGCGCAAGCGTGGTGACGTTGGGCCGCTCGATCAGGCGCAGGGCGAGCATATCCGGATGCGAGTGCGTCAGGTATGGCGAACGCTCGCTCGAGGCATCGGCTTCTGCCACTTCGGCTTGCTCTTCCGCCAGCTCGCTCAGGCGACGAGCGCGTTCGAGGTCGAATTGCTCCTGCAGTCTCGTCTCGTGCTCGCGTGCAGCTGCCTTAGCGTCCCACCACCGGACCGCCTTCAGATCGCGCGCGTACACGGCGTCCCAGCAGATCGGGCAGCGCCGCCACTTTTGTACCGGCGTGGGTACAGCCGATGCTGTAGGCCTGGCTTGGTCGTCGTCCTTGATGCTGAGGTAGTGCAGGATGCACGGATAGCAGAAGACGTGTCCGCATTTGGTCATACGCGGAGCTGTGGGTGGCGAAAGGCAGATCGGGCACGCGGCTCCTTCGTGCGCCGGTTCGCGCGGCTGGTCCGAGACAGCAGCGGAGGAACCCACTCCCGTAAGTGCGGAGGAGGTAGGAATGACAACCTGGAGGATGTCGGCCCAGTTGAGCGAGATGTCCGGGTCGGCAAAGTACGCGGTGTAGTCGCCAGTCGGCTTGACGAGGAAGCGGTACTGCGCGTTGACGTAGCGTTCCTTGTTGAAGGGGGTGTAGTTGGCGCCGCGACGCGATCTACGAGCTGGCACGGAGAGGGGCGGTCTACTGCGGGGTGGGAGGGTGAAGGAGAGAAGATGGTTCATGCTCTGGCCGCCGCGCCTCGCCTGCTTCGAGTCGACATGGTGCGATGTGGAGTTCGCATTGTCGGGCATGGATTTCGACGACGGACGCGCAGTGCTCATCGGGATGCTGGAAGAGAGGAGATCTTGCAGGTTTCGAGGCTAAGTATCGACTTAGCCTGACTGCGGGCGGTGCTGGTGGTCGAAAGACGCTGCGCGATGCGGCGGAGAGAAGCGGAAGAGACCCGCGCACACAGGGCGACGCAAGCGAGGTCGTTGGATGAATCGAACGCGTCAGCAGAATCCCTGGAGCCGATTGCTCCTGCACAAAATGATGTCCGAGGTATGGACGTGCTTTGGTGAGGTTGTTGTGAGGAAAGCAAGGTGATGAGAAGGCGTCGCTATCACTTTTGCGTCGAGTCGACACGTGCTGAGCAGGCTTGTGGCTGCTCGCCTCAAGCGTGCTGCTCGAGCTCACCCGCTTGCATACGGCGCGGAGCGGAACTCGGGTTTTGCTGCTCGTCGCGGTTTGACTGGCGCTGGAGCCGGTTTTTTTCAGGTCCCGCCCGCGACTTAGGCTCAGCAGCCCAGGCACTGGTCAGCGAGTGTGGAAAAAGCGTAATTTTGCAGGTCCGTGTGGAGGGCGTGCGCGGAATTATACGATGTTAGAGTTGGTGACTGCTGTGCCTGAATGTCGCTCCATACTTTGGCTGGCTGTCGGCAAGAGTGGATTGCCGGAAGGTGTTGGTGCCGCGCTGTTGGGCGTGCACGGACGGGGTCGAAGCTATGCCCGCTTTCCCCGCACAATCTGGAGGGCGGATTGCACCAATCGCATCGTGGCTGTGGTGCTTGCCTCAGGGCAGTGACTACGACCCTGCAAACATGACCGACTCGGAGGCCGCTAGGGCCAAGCTTCAAGACGTCGAGGTGATGTACTTCGATGTGTTTGGCACCGTGGTGGATTATGTCGACACCGTGACACGGGCGTTGCGGCGAGAGATCGACCAGACACGCATGGCAGATGAGCACCTTCTGCGTGCGCTGCAGCAAGACTATGACTGGCGACACTTTACGATCGCGTGGAGATCCGAATACAAGCGCGAGACGCAGCGGCTGGCTGCACTCGGCAATCCCGACAGGGTGACGGTTGATCAGATGCATCTGGCAGCGCTCGGCCGGCTTCTCTCCGACCTCCCCTTTGCCGATCGCACTTGCGTCCCCGAAAGCATCCGCAAGGGCGGGGTCGAAGCAGCATCAAAGCACCTTGAGCAGGCCTGGACGGCTGATACACGAGCTCGACTCAACCATACATGGCATCTGCTTGATCCTTGGAAAGACTCGGTGCAGGGGCTCGAATCGCTCGCAGAGACCCACAAGATCGGCACACTCACCAATGGCAACCTCAACCTGATGGTGGACATGGCCAAACATGCAAGGTTGCCCTGGCACTTTATCCTCTCTGCCGATCTCATTGGAAGCTTCAAGCCCGATCCGAAAATGTACACGTCTGCAATGGCGCTCTTCGACATCGACCGCTCTAGCAACCCAGCCAGAGCCTGTATGGTCGCAGCACACGTAAGTCGTCACTTCACGCGTCGAAACCTAGACACTAGGCTCACTGAGTTGAATATCGCCGGTGACACAGCTGTACGACCTTCAGGCCGCAAAAGAGTGCGGGATGACCACCGTCTTTGTCTCTTGCAGACCCACGGAAGACTCACTCCCACCCGAGGGCAAGCCGAGCTATGTCGACATTGTCGTTGACGACCTTCTTGGACTCGCACGTCTAGCATCTCCCAGCCCAACCAAATAGGTCCACGCGTCGCACACGCGGTCTAGCATAATTCATAGGCTTTTGCATTTCAAGGACGATAGACACGCTAGCCAAAGCTGGCGGCGTGCGCTCAGGGCTTGTATCCAGCCTCGGCAAGCGCCTCCTTGATGCTGTTGAGCAGGTAGTCGATGTCGCCGCGCTGCTTGTCGACGACGGTGACGCCCATGTGGCCGATGCGGAAGTACTCGTCCTTGACCTGCTTGTGCAGGCCGGCGGCGACGACGATGTTCTTGGCGACGAGCTTGGGCAGCAGGTCGGTGGCCTTGACGCCCTGCGGGTATCGCACCGCCGTCATGCCGTGTGCGCCGTCCTTCTTGCCGTCGGCGGCGAGCTGCTGCAGGCCGAGCTGCGAGACAAAGTCCTTGACGCGGTCCGAAGTGGCGACGTGCTGCTGGAAGCGCTCCTCGAGCGAGGGCGAGCCCTTGGTGATGGTGGTGAGCGACGCGTGCAGCGCGTAGATGAGGTTGGTGGGGGGCGTGGCAAAGTACGCGCCGGTGCCGGCCTCGTACGCCTTCATGACGGGAAGCCACCTGGACCACGAGGCAAAGTAGCTGTTGGGCGGCACGGTGCGCTTCTCAAACGCAGCGATGGCCTTCTTGCTGGCAGCAAGAACCATGAGGCCGGGCGGGCAGCCGAGACCCTTCTGCGTGGCGGTGAGCACGACGTCGATGCCCCACTCGTCCATGCGGATCTCCTCGCTGCCCACACTGCACACGCCGTCGAGAACGAGGATGGTCTCGGGGCTGACGCGCTTGACGAGCTCGCCGAGGCCCTTGGCATCGCTCAGCACACCGGTCGAGGTGTCGACGTGGGTGAAGGTCAGCACCTTGTACTTCTTCTTGGCGAGCGCGGCCTCGACCTCGTCAAGCGAGGGCTTGGAGCCGATGGGTGCCTTGATCTGGTCCACCTTGGCGCCGTACGTCTCGAGGCAGTCGGCGAAACTGTCGCCAAAGTATCCCGAGTTGAGCACCAGCGCATCCTCGCCGGGCTGCAGCACGTTGGCGGCCACGTGGTCCCAGCCGAGCGTGCCGGAGCCGGCCGTGAGGACGGGCTGAGCGTTGGGCGCAAACAGCACCTCGCGGAGCATGCGGATGCAGTCGCCGAACACGGGGATGAACTCGGGCGAGACGTGCGACATGGCCGGGTGCGCGTTGGCAAAGAGCACGTCATCGGCGACCTCGATGGGTCCCGGAATGACGAGCAGCTTGTGCGGGGCCTGCTTGAAGCTCTGCGTCGACATGTCTTTTGCTAGCGTGGAGGGGAGCCGGGGAGAGATGTGATGTGTGACTTGATCGATTCGAGTGCGTGCGACTGCGACTCTGTTGTGGTGAGAGGCATCGGCGTTGGGTCGTGTGGATGTGGAAGGTCGCCGCGAGTTGGTGTCGTCGGTGTGTTCCATTGGCATGGGGCCAGAGAGGGATTGGCGACGAGCAGACATGGTTGATCGTGCGAGCGGCGGGTTGCAGGGAGATGCGGCCGGATGGTGGTCGTGAGCAAGATGCGGTGCGAGAGCAAGGATGGTGAGAAGTACGATGCAGTTTCGGCGGCAAGTGATGGCGAGAGGCGCGAGCAAGACAGGGCGCGGGACGAGGATCGACACCGTGGCAGAGGCGGGGTCGGTGCGGGGTGAAGGCCGGCCCAAGTGGGACAGAGCGAGGCCAGCAATGCGGGGGAGTCAGACATGCGCCCACGCAACGGGAATGGCGCCATGCAGCATGTCGCGAAGAAAAGCGCCGCGCCAAGGGAAGGTCCGTTCGCAAAGCATCGACCGAGCATGTCCGAAATCGCGAGCAGCGGCAACAGCGGCAGAGGCAGCAGCCGCGCAGGCAGGCGGAAATTGGCCGAGGCAGGCGCGTGAGCGGCGAAATGAGACCAAAATGAGGCCAAAATGAGGCCAAAATGGGTCGCGGGAAGCGGGGAGATGCCGCGCGAAAATCCAGCCAAAATCAGAAGCGCGGAGATACAAAGCGAGCGGTGGGAAGTTGGAAGCAGCAGCAATACAGCGACAGCCGCAGGTGGGAGCGGGGAAAGCGTCGGGCCAAGCCGATCAGAAAGAAGCATGATCAATGCAGCAGCAATCAATCGCCAGCAGTCAGCGGTCGACAGAAAGTGCGATCCGAGCCCGATTGCGATCGAGCGAGCAGGTCGATCCCGATGCAATCCATCGAGCATCCAGCGTGCCAAGAAGTTGGTAGTTGGTCGGTCGAGTTTCCGCCGGGTCCACGTTACGGGACCACGTTACAAATCCATACGGCCGCGAATGGAGGTAGAGCGTCGAGCAACGCCAGGAGTCGTGAAGCAGTAGCGATCCGCCCGCGGCAATAGATCAAGTCGAAGGTCGAGATGGTCGCAAGGGAAGGCGAGGTCCAGGAAGGCACGTGCATGCAGCGATTAGTAGGTCGTGTCCGTATCCAGCCGGAGACGGTCAAAGCAGGGAACGTCGTATCGCAGTTCCGAGACGTCGAGCGTTGACCAAAGCAGACGAGAGCAATCCAGAGTCGATAAAATGGACAAGCGGTCGTAGCAGGCGGTTGATTGAGAAGGTCGAGATTGGGAAGCGTAAAGGCAAGGGAAAGAGAAGGAAAGAACAAAGACGACGAGGGTCAGTGGCGCTATTCTCGGCGTGACGACGTGCGACAGAGCGCCAGTCAGCGGTCGAATGCGGATGCTTACGTTTGACAAGATCGAGTGGCGATGCGTTGGTGATGGAGTGAGAGAAGGCAAGAAGGACAACGAGGTTGCGAGGTTGCGATACGGCCCAAGCGGCTTGTGTGGAGAAGGAGTCCGGCACGGCGCCCGGTCCACCGCGCTTCAGTGCGCTTTCTCCACCTTTCAACCGCGGCCGGCTGGATCGGTTTTTCCTCGAAATCCGCAGGCCTTTGCGCCGGGGTAGACCGAGTCCCTGATCGTATCGGGAGTCGATTGTTCATTCCAGTCATGATCGGGAGATACCATCCCTGCCACCGCTCTTCCTCCTCCCCCCTCCGCCGCGAGAAAGCATCCAAATGGCGCCACAGCCGCGGCCGACTATTGCTATGCTTCCAATATCTGAGATGCTATTGCGACAATCTCGGCTCGATCGAGGAAGGTCACCTGAGCGTCGGGCTGATTGCAATCGCGTCCAATAGGAGCAGCGTGCCGCAGCGAGTGAGGAAGACGACGACGCATCGAGTTCTATTTCGCAATTTCCGCGCTCCAGCCAGGCACAGCAGCAGGCAAAGAGCGCCAAAGCACGCGGCGGCCTACGATTGGCGTAGAGCGTTGGTCGAGTGCGGCATGGAAGAACTGCATCCGTTCGTCTGTGTGCTCTGACCGCGCAACGCTCTCTCTGCACGGACACGGCTCGGTGGGATTTCCCCACTTTGTGAATCTGATCCAACACCTCTCCTGCCTTCTGCCCTCCGTCACCTCGTCCATTCTGGTATCCCGGCCTTTACAGTGAGTTTATCCTTCAGCAGCTGGCACGTCGCCCCGCCTTGCGACTAGGTCAGGCTTGGCTCACACCTGTTGCACACCCATTTGCGTAGACGCAGCCGACATGCGATTCTTCACTCTGGCCGCTTCTGCGCTGGTTGCGCTGGTGCCTGCCGCGCTCGTCGCCGCCCAGGCACACGACACGCCCGAGCTGGGCATTGTCACGACGTTCCCCAACAACCCGCACTCGATTGTCAAGAATGGCCAGGCCAACACGGTGGTGTTTTCGATCACCAACCCGCCCAAGGAGGACCGTCTGCTGACGCTCCAGTCGGTCACGGGTGCCTTCCTCAACCCCAAGAAGACAGACGGTCAGCGCGGTCGCGTGCTGCGCAACATGACCACCACCACGTTCAAGTCGCGCCCGCTCCGAACCGTCGGTGGCCGTCCCGTGCAGATCCCCTTTGACTTTGTGCCCGAGTTCAAGCCGCAGGAGCTCTCGGTGGAGTTCAGCCTGCTGGTCAACGACGAGCAGACGGGCAAGAAGCACCGCATCCCCGCCTACCGCGGCGCCGTCCAGGTCGTCGAGCCCCCCAAGAATTGGTTCGACCTCCAGCTGCTCTCCGTCTACGTCATCGCCGCTGCCACCATCGCCGGCATCGCCTACGTCGTCTACGCCACCTACATCAAGGCCGAGGACACCACCGCCACCGGTCCCAAGAAGTTCGAGAAGCCCGCTCCCGTTCAGCAGTCCGGCGTCCAGGACGAGTGGATCGTGAGTACCCGACATGCCTCGCGGGCGCTCGCCCGACTCATAGGATCTTTCGCATCAGAATCTGACGCATTTGCCCCCTCTTGTCTTGATCCTAACAGCCTGAGCACCACCTCCGCGCACGCAAGGGCAAGGGCAAGTCGACCGGCGCTCTCAGCAGCGGCGACGACGAGCCTTCGACCCCCAAACGACGAGGCAAGGGCCGCAAGTAGACCTTCTTCACGTGGGACACCATCTCATCGGCTTGGAAACCTACCGTCCTCTCGCCGCTTTGTCGAGCCAGCACATGTGCAATGCCTACTGACTGCTGACTTCGTAGCTGGACTTTTGCCATTTCCCGCAATGTAAATATCCGACGCAAGACTGTCAATGCTGTGCGGATCTAGACACGTGCTTGCGCGCAATCTCGCCGGACTGGCTCATCCCTACGAGGCCCTACTTGCGCGAGTCTGAGCGGCTGAATTTGCATTCGCTTCGCCTTCGATCGATGAGCCGGAGCGTGGCCACAAGCCGCATCTGCGTCTTGTGGAGCGCGATATTATAGCTCGGCACAGGGACGCACATTCGGCGTTGCATTCGATCTGGTGAGGCTGCAGTGATCTGTGTCACGAAAGCAAGAAGCTGGACAAGCGCGCGCCGCCAACAGACTGCTGAACATGTCGGGGATGATGGGTCAATGGAAGGCGACTTCGAAACGCGGGGGGATTCTTTCCGCGTCCGTGCAGACCCAAATGCCATTTCGCCTCCACACACCGCCAGCTTTGGCGTTGGGCGTTTTCGATCGGGAAGAGCTGCAGGTGCTGATCAATTGTGCAGCTGCAGCTCAGGGTCCAGCTCGTCCGTACTTTGACAGGCGCCGCACCTCGCTGTCCTCGTGCGCCCGTTGCTGCTAGGTTCAGCTTTGGCTAGTGTGAGCTAAGCATTGAGCGTCTTGATGTGACAGGCCCAAGCTTTCCGAGAGACCACCATTGGACCTGACGTGCAAGATGGGCTCGATATCGGCGGACCGACCGCCGTACCTGACGCTGACCATTTCGCAGGCCCTCTCTCTCGAGCCGCCACCTGCACCGGAGCCGCGCCAGCATGCATCGGTCAACGCCATGCTGGATGCGCGTGCCGAGCATATGCCGCACCAGCTGGCTGTTGGGTTCACGTCGCTCAGGGACAAGGACTGGCACTGCGAGTCGCTCACATATGCGCAAGTCCGTGCGCTCGCCATCAAGACCGCACACAACCTACAGGCGTCCCTACCGCCCAGACGCGCAAACTCAAAGTCGCCGAATGGGACGCCGCTCGTGGCGGTCCTTGCGCCGTCCGGGCTCGATCTTTTCGCCCACATCGTGGCACTGTGGCGATTGGGCTACGGCGTACTATGCATCGCGCCAGGATCGCCCGCCGAGGCCGTGGCGAACTTGCTGCGCCTCACAGAGACCACGGTGGTGCTGGCGCATGCGTTACAGCTCGCGCCCGCACGGGCTGCTATCGATACCTTGGAAGACGAGCGAGCTCACGTGGTAGAGATGCTGCGTACGTCCACCAACAATATCGAAAAAGAGGACGAAAGCAGCTGGGAACCCCCCACGGGCGAGGACGTGCTGGTGACGATGCATACGAGCGGATCGTCCGGATTGCCCAAACCGATCTATCAGCTGAACCGGTTCTGGACCGCCTCGATGCTCACCGCACCCGGGCGCGAGCTGTGTGCATTCACCACCACGCCCCTCTTCCACGGCGGAATGTCGGACCTGCTGCGCTCGATCCAGGCAGGCTCGACGATCTTCTTTCACCCGACCGCCGATCCGGGCGCGCTGTCGACCACTGCCATCTGCCGTGCCATCGGAGCGTGTCCACAGCGCCCGGCGTACTTTCTCTCGGTGCCGTACATTCTCGACATGATGTTCACCGATGCAGCGGGCGAAGGCGCCGAGGCACTGGTGGGGATGCAGCTCGTGAGTACCGGCGGTGCGCCTCTGCCGCAGCAGCTCGGCGACCAGATGGTGGCAGCGGGAATCCGACTCGTCAGTCGGCTCGGCAGCTCCGAGTGCGGATTCCTCATGTCGTCTTGGCGCGACTTTGCAAGCGATAGCGAGTGGAACTCCCTGCGCATCCCCGATGCCCTCGGCCAAAAAATGCTCCGCTTCGAGCCTCAAGACCCCTCCGCCAGCGGGGGGCTGCACGAGCTCATCGTCAATGCGGAATGGCCCACGAAGCTCGTAGCAAATCGGGAAGACGGCGGTTACGCGACGTCGGACCTGTATGCGCCGCACGACTCGCTGCCCAATGCGTGGCGCTACGACTCGCGCTCGGACGACACGCTCGTCCTCGTGTCCGGCAAAAAAGCCACTGCGCCCGTGGGCGAAACGCGGCTCAAAGCAGTTTCATTCGTATCAGAGGCAATCGTGTTTGGTGCCAACCGCGCCATCCTCGGTGCGCTCGTATTCGTCACCCCACAGGCAGCTGGCGAGGGCGCGTTCGATGATGCGGCGCAGATCGCGCTGCTGAGGCAGTTGCAGCCGGTGCTGGCGCAGATCAATGCGGCCTCGCCGCCACATGCGCAGCTCGCGCTCGAGATGGTAAAGCTGCTCCCGCCAAGCGAGGCGGCCAGCATCCCGCGCGCGAGCAAGGGATCGCTTCAGCGCGGCCGTGCGTACGTGCGCTTTGCAGCGCTCATCGACCAGGTCTACGCGGACTTCGAGGAGGGCCGCTCGCTGCGTGTCCCGCCTGCTGGCCAGACCGTCGGCGGCAAAGAGGCGCTGGAGGGGGAGGAGCTGGTGGCGTGGCTCGTGGATACGGTGGAGCGGATCAATGGCACGAGGTTGGCGCCCGACGCCGACGTGTTTGTGGCGGGAGTCGACTCGATCCAGTCGGCGCGCATTCGTGCTGCGGTGCACCAGAATGTCGAGCTCGGTGGTAAAGTACTGGGCCGTAACGCAGTGTACGAGCATCCTACACTGGTGCTGCTTGCACAACACATCAGCGATGTGCGCAACGGCAACGATGGTGATGCACACACGCGCCAAAGCCGCGAGCTAGGGCTCATGCATCAACTCGTCGCCAAGTATTCGCGCCCCAAGCCCGCCTCCCCACAGCAAGAAGAGGGGGGCGTGGGCACACTGTTCATCCTCACGGGCGTGACGGGTGGGCTGGGAGCGCAGCTTCTGGACCGCGTACTGTCGCGATGCAGTGGCGAGGACCACGTTGTCTGCCTCGTGCGCGCCTCGAGCGACGCTACCGCCCGCGACCGTGTACTTGCTTCGCTCGATTCGCGATTTCTCAGCAAAGCTCGTGGTGCCGTCGAGACGGATCGGGTCGAATGTCTGGCGGCCGATCTATCGCGCCGCGATTGCGGCCTTGGCAAGGGGTTGGGTTGGCACTCCGCCCGCGTGGTGACGATCCACGCCGCCTGGTCGGTCAACTTTGTCGCGGGCCTGTCGAGCTTTGAGGCGGACAACATTGCGGGTGTAGCGCATCTGCTCGATCTGCACGACTCGCTCCCCTGCGCAGCAGCCGCTGATTCGGCGTTTGTCTTTTGTTCCTCCGTCGCCTCTATCCTCGCCAACCGCAGCGAGGATGTAGGGTTGGAGGAGAAGGCTTCGCGCGCGGCAGGAGATGCGGTCGCAATGGGGTATGCGCGCAGCAAGTGGGTTGCGGAGCAAATCATTGCGCGCCACATGGGGACCGGAGGACAGTATGCAGCGGTGCGGATCGGACAGCTGTGTTCAGACACAGCTCATGGCGTGTGGAACCAGAGTGAAGCATGGCCGATCCTGATCCAGATCAGCCAGGCCGTCGGATGCTTTCCCGCCCTCAATGAGCGTCTGGACTGGATCCCTACGGACGTAGCCGCGCAGACGGTGCTTGATATCGCCCTCTCCACATCGGACAAGGTGTACAACGTAGCACAACCGACCACAGCTGCGCAGCACGATGCGGCGGGGTGGAACGAGCTGTACAAATGGCTCGCCGAGGATCTGCATCTCGAGCTCGTGCAGCCTCTAGCGTGGCTCGAGGCGGTGCGACGCTCGGACTGCGATTCGCGCGGACTGCTCGCGCTGTGGGAACGCAACTTCGCCCGCTCTCCCGACGCCGACGCACCGCGCTTCGTATGCGACAAGGCGCTGGCTCTCAGCAGCGCCTTGCGCGCCTGGGGTCAACACGGCGTAGACGCCCCACTCATCCATAAAACCGTCCAGCACTGGCGAAGCATTGGCTTCCTCAAATGAGCGTCCTAAATTTCATGTCGTCTGTGAGGCCATGTTCACCCTCACGAGGAAGATCGGCAGTGAATGCGAGTGTAGTGTCAAAGATTGCTTCAGATTCGCAGGGTGAAGCTAAGCAAAGTGAAGCGTGTGACCACGCGGCGTCGACGGTGCTCAGGCAGTCGACGACGCCGCGCTGGAAGCGGGACCCGACTCACCCGGGCCCACACGAGGAGCAGCGCCGCCCTGCGCCTGCGGACCGGCATGAGGGGGCTGACCGCCGAACTGCGGTGCGGCACCATAGGGCATGTTGGCGCCGGGCTGGCCCGGGTAGTACATGTGTGGCTGGGCGCCTGGTGGGTGCGGCTGCCCCTTCTGCATGTGCGGCGGTGGCGGTCTTGGTCCGCCCGCGCCCGGGGGCGGCATGGGCATGAATTGCGCCTGGCCCGCGGGGGGCACGTTACCCATCTGTGGGCTGTACATGTTCTGCGGCGCGCCGTGCTGGTGCATGGGTGGCGAGAAGGGCATCTGCCCCATGAACTGCTGCGGCACACCGCCGTACGGCATGGGCGCGCCCTGCATGCTCGGCGCCATCTGCATGGGCTGCATCATGCCCGGCTGGCGGCCCTGAGGCATGCCCTGCGCTGGCGGCTGGCCGCCGGGATACTGGTACGGCGCACCGGCATACGGCTGATACACCATCCCAAACGGCTGCTGCGGCGGTCCGGGTCCTTGCGTCGGCCCGGGCCCCGGCACAGGAGCGGGCACAGGACCCGGTCCGGCGGGTCCGGGACCGGGCTGCGACATCTGGCCGGGACGCATTGGCTGTGGGACGTGCTGCGGAGTCTGGCCACCGGGGTGCATGCCCGGCTGCATCATTCCGCCAGGACCCGCGACGTAGAGACCGGAACCATCGTCCATGAGCGCGCCAGGAGGAGCAACGACAAAGTGCTGGCGGTAAGGCTTGCCGCTAAAGGCCCACATGGGACCGACGGCCTTGGCATCGGGCATCT